TTCTTTAGTCTGAGCAATAGTGAGGTTCGCCTACGTGATTGCTAGTGCAAGCTATCAGTAGTAAGTCTGTGTAGCCTGTCGAAAGCGTGCCAGGGTCCTAACTGCACCGTTACCGGGCAAATAACGCTTTTAAAGTAGTGTTATTGTAACACGGCACAGATTTCCTTTCAACCATACACCAATAGTGTCCGTGTTTCTTAAAAGGTTTCCAGCCCGCGCGTTGACGTTGCGAATATTTTCCAACAACCCCAAGGTACCGAGCCACAAGGGTCCGTCACCTGGTCCGAAACGACACATAGCTTAGCCACAAGGGCCCGGCCACTGCACAGAAACAACTCAGGGACCATGGGGCGGGGCTCTTCATGGCCCGCCCCCTCAAGCCGTTGCAGTGTTGGACCTAGGCAACGGCCCTCTCCTAGGGTCGTGCCCTAGGCCCGGCCGGCCACGGCTCTAGCCAACGGTCCCCTTGTTGGGTCGTTACTTCATCTGGTGCACACTGCCTGTGCAGCAGATGATGTTTTCTCAACTCCAAAACAATATCAAACAATTTTAACACATTCAAAACATCAACAACACATCTTAGACAAGTAATAGATCACTTCCTAGCTCAAACACATCAAAATCTAGCATTTCTACTCATTTCTATCTAAGAAACTAGGCTTCATAGAGCCAAAATTTGAAGAGGGAGTCCATGGGGTTATACCTTTGTAGATTCCTCCTTTTTGTTGGGATTCCCTCCTTCTTCCCAACTAGCTACACCCTCCTTCACCTCCTAAACATAACAAACAAACCATACAACAAGCCTTAAGAGCTAAGTTCTCAGAGATGGAAGCTAGAAATCAAAGAAGCTACGAGAAGAGTGGATGAATGGAAACTTACTATGTTTCTTGCAAAGTTTTTTCTTGGGGAAGACAACGAAGAGAATCAAGAGGCAAATGTCTGAAAACATTCCATTTTATAGGGCTCTAAAGCCTAGGAGAATCAATAATGATTGGTGGAGGGCAAAATGGTAATTTCGTGGTTGTTCTACAAAGATCAGACAAGGTGTTGGATGGTTGTGGTCTACCAAGCTTCATGGACCAAGTCTAGAATCATAGTTTTAAATAGTTTAGGGGTCAAAATATAATTTTCCAAAATGATTTCTAAACAAACACTTGGTTCAGATTTCTCCCGGTCTCACTCAGATTGGTTTCTCAGTTTAAAACTTGGTACGCGAAGTATCCCGAAAATTTAGGATTTTGGAATTAAAATAAGTTTCGGTGTTGAATTAATTTAAAATGTAACTCAAAATAATTTATTCAAACACCAATTTATTTTTTAAAAAAAAATAATGGAGTGAAAATGACTATTTTGAAATTTCTTAAAAAAATTGGATTTATAAAATAAAATTTTGGGTTGTCACATTCTATCCCCCTTAAAAGAAATTTCGTCCCGAAACTTAGAAGAAACGAGTGGATCAAATTCTCGAAGGGTAAAAGGAGATATAACACAGAGGCTGGGAATTTCTGTTGGAACATTTTGGGAAGGTTTAGGAATCTTTGAGTTTTCATCTAACTTAACTAGAACTTAAGCAACTAATCGGGTAACGAATCTATTAACTGAGCTCAAAGGCTTAACTAATTACCTTGATTGAAGCCTCTCGAAGAACCTCATGGTGGCATGTAGCTAGGATCTCATCTGTAAGGAGTCCATCTTTGCACGTTTTCAATTCCCATTCTTTCTTCCATTATAGCTGCCCTTCGATCAAAATTAGCAAATCCATAATTAACCTAAGCACTCAGATTATCAAATCGGTTATTGATCATGGCATACAAGTCCTCATAGGTGGGTCCTCTAGGTCCACTCATGTATCCTTCTTGTGTTCCCGACGGGGTGGCTGCAATTGGTGCTCCCTCATTACTCATCCCCATTCCTTGATTGTCCCCTATAGCATTCCCTTCACCACTAGCCTCAACTATATGCCCAGATTCAATCCCAACATTCGGCCATTTTCTTTGTGGCACATTCAAACTGGCCACAAGTGCAATCCTTTCATCCATAGGCTTCTTGGCAATGTTGGTCAGGGTCAGGTACTTGTTATCGGTGGTCTGGTACAACTCATAGTATCGCAGATTGGCGGCATTCAAAGATGTCCTGGTGGTTCTTTGTATCCTCTCTCCCCTTTCGGGAAAATTCATCTTCTTAAAAACCCAACTCAACATCATACCATAAAGGCAAATTTTTCATGTTCTTTGATTTAAAATAAGACATGTGCTTAAGGATCAAAACTGGCAGATTTATCGTGTGACCAAACCTCAACAAGAAAGCAATTGTACAAGTCCAACTGTCAATCTCAGTGGAGTTGTTCCTACATGGGAACAAGCACTCCTCTATCAATAATACCAACAACTTCTTCTCTCCGGTCAGCGTGGGTCTCTCAGGTCGGTATTCCTTAGGGAATTCCTCCCTACTACCAGTCATGTACCTCAGGTACTCATGGTATGACAACCGCTCATAGGTAATCCAATCATCCCGATCATACATGTCCAGTCACATTAGAGGTAATCATGGTCACACCCTTCTTATACTTCGTGGACAAGTTTTCATAAAACTCAATCACCAAATCTGGATAGATTTCTTCTTGAATTCTTAAAAATTTCCTCAATAAACCCCGACTCTCCAGTATACTATTAAAATCCTCAGAAAAATACTCTGGAAAACAAGTTTTACCTCTTATCACTGAGTAAGTAGGGCCTTCGTGACTAGTTCCCTCCACTTGTTGTTTTCCTTTTGTCATTCTGGTTGAGGATGATGAATCTGTGAGTTTTGATGTTTTAAAGTGGTGGAAGAGTCATAGTGAGAGATTTCATATTCTCTCCAAAATGGCTAGAGATGTGCTTGCAGATCCTATTTCCACAGTTGCATCTGAGAGTGCATTTAGTACAAGTGGAAGGGTGCTTGATACATTTAGGAGTTCCTTGACACCTAAAATAGTGGAAGCCCTACTTTGTACACAAGATTGGTTGAGGTTACGTAATCAGTCAATCACACTTGAGGAGAATTTAGATGAGGTTGAAAGATTGGAGAAAGGTAAGACCATTTGTATACATTTATCATTCCCATTTCTTTTTTACTTTTGTAACTTGTAAGTTTTAACTAATTACTTATCCTTATTTGTTTTGCAGAGTTTCCCACTTGAGCTGCATCTACTCTACCATCAATGCTGTCACTCATTCATGTAATGTGTTTAACTAATTACTTATCTTTATCTGTTATGGTGTTGTACTGTTGTTTGTTGTTGGCCTTCACAAGATGAAACTCAAAGGCTTGGCAACTTTCTATAATTCTATTATGGAAATGTTGCCGCACTTAGATGAGTTGAGTACTTGAGTTGAGCACTACTGTCAACTAAGTACTGATGACCCATTTCTTCCATTCTGGATTTTTGGTATTCCTCTAAATCTCTAATCCTCTGATAGTTTGATGATGCTTCCACCTTTGTATTCCTTTAATGCATTATTATTTATTTGGCTGGCTATGATGATGCTTCCACCTTTGTCTGAACAAATGGTAGGTGTTGCTATGTTGTTCATGTGCTATTATAACACATTTGAGCAACTTGCCCCTATCATTACTTGAAATGAAAAATTGTAATCTGAGCCTATAAGGCTATTAGCCTAATGCCCCTACAGCATAATATTTTTACTTAGTTAGCTGTTTACTTAATAGTTAATATGTTTCCTAATATTGTTTTAAGTTTTGATATTAACAGGAAGAAGTGTAGAAATGATGATTGTTGTCAACAGATTTGCTATAAAGAACTAAAGATGTTGATTGGAATGACTGCTAAAGTTTAAGTGATTAACTTCTTTTTTTTTTATTTTTTGGAAGTTAAACACTTAAACTTAGATTAATTTTGTATTTTTGTTTACTTTTGCAATTTTTGTTGTAAAATTAAATTATTATATGTTTGATGTTTCTGTTCTTTAGCTCTGAAAATTATTAAGTTGTTGCTTGTTTTATTAATAAGGAATATTTTGTTTCAGTTATTCAATTATTAATGACTTTTTGAAATCCGAATGAAATTCGAAATCCGATCCGTAAAATTCGACATCCGATTTAGCATATCCAATAGGTTTTTAAGTACAAAAAATAATGGATTGGATTGGTAAAATGCAATACGAAATCCGATCGGATAGACGGAATACATATCCGATCCGATCCATCCGATGCACAGGCCTAATTGAAATTCCAGTAATTATATTCATGTAAACCAAACACACTAAAATTTAAATTCACACTTTATTCCAAATAATTCATCTCTCATAAAATTGTATTTTTTGAGTTATGATCCAATTCCTGTTTCACAAGTAGTTGGATGACTTCTTCTTCTTTTTTTTTTTTTGAAAAAGTAGTTGAATAACTTATTTTACCTTCATTCCAATATTTAATTAGCCTAGAATCTGGTGCTAAATGGACAAGACACTTTATAAACCTGGATGCTGAGAATAAATCGTTTAGCATTGAATCTCACTCAAGCTGTCTAAATAATAGTTGTTCCTTTTCCTCCTATACTTAGAAATGTTTAAATAACTCAAAACCTGTAGACAGATATTTATACACAAACTCGAGAACTTTCAAAGCGAGTCTGAAATCAGTGCTTACAATCTCGCATTTTAATTATCAGAATTTACCATCAAGGAGGAACAGTGTTAATTTGTCATATGTATTAGCCTTATGAACATACGCAGAATTTATTTAAAAAAAATACTTGATGAAATTACAAATCATAGTTTAATAATAATAACCATTGGACTAATAAATCACCCAACCTTGATGAAATTACAAATCATAGTTTAATAATAATAATAACCATTGGATTAATTAATCACACAACCTTGATGAAATTACAAATCATAATTCAAGAATATCATTTTTATAATGTATAGAAAAAGTATCATACATCTTATTCCACTATCACATAGTGCACAAGATTGAGGGAATTAAGTAAACAATCATTCTTACGGTAAATATAGACTTTCATAGTAAACTCGAGAATATATTCTCTGCATAAACATATGGTATTTCCATTTTTCTATTGTATCCGTATTCCTCTCGTTGTAAACTTGAAATAAATTGCCAGCAGTTGGATTTGAAGCTATGGTAATACTTTTCCTTTCTTTACTTATAGAGAACATCTTCCTTTCCTGAGTTACCAAATCCTGAGATATGAAGTATGGTACATCCGGCTCTGAATGCTCTGAATCCGGATCCCAATCCGGATCAACTGCACGGTCTTGAAATACAAGCAATTCTCCATCCACATTCCAAATTCCTATTGGTCTCCACCATTCAATATTATTATATATGTTTAGACCATAATCTATGCGTGCTTGTTTACACCAATAAGTATTGTTGTCATTTTCAATCATTAACCAAATATCAATGCAATTGGTATTCCCCACAATTGGTGAATATCGAAGTACAGCAATAGTCTCATTCATTATTGAGACTGAATCAATATTAGACTTAGGCAACTCAATCATCCCACACACCTCATTATTCATGTCAAACCAAATCAAGTAGTGAATTATATGTTGCTGGTTAAACCCTACCGTCCCCCAATAGTACCTCCCTTTTAAATAAAAATCATTGCTCATATCCCGAATATTTTGAAAAGATGTAACTAAATTAAGTTGTCTCAAACTCCAAGAATCACTATAATCTTGACTATAAACCATTGTCATTTGGTGAACAGTTCTCCCATCCGAAGAACAAATTTCTAATAGCATGACAACCTTCCAGGTCATGTTGTTAGAAATCCCAAATCCAAATTCGCTAAGTGCATATAATCCATCGCAAGGTGCTTTGTAAGGGACAGTAACCGAGGGTAAGGCTTTAACTTTCCTAATGGAGGGATTCCACATTAAAATATCATAAATAAGATAATCACCTTTATCAAGTTTATCATTCTTGGTCGAAATCAAGCATAACATACCTTTACAACACTTAACCCACTGCATTCCTGGGATGTCTAAGTATATGCATCCAATCTCATTACACTCAGATTCTTTGTAAAGCAAATAATATTCTCTAAAATCCCGACCAACCTCTAAAAGAACACAATCGGTTTTTGCTTTGCTAATTTCGTAGTGTTTGTCCATGAAGTGCTGATCACTTTTTATCAAATCATAGAAAAATTTACAAACACACTTAAATCGCATAAGAGACTTTACCCGTAATCTTGATAAAATATCAACCACCAGATCCCTTGGCAATTTGCAACTTTCCATTTTCAGGCCGAGATCGAGTTTCAAAGATGGAACAATTCAATGCTTCTAGCAATTAGGGAAAGATGTGCCTTCAAATCGTCAATATGCAGTATTGGCTATGACGGAGATCTGAGAATAGAATATAATAGGGATGAATAAGGGTTTGGTGTGTTGAATACTTGTATTTGAGTTGTAATACAAGTGGTTTACTTATTAGGTTAAATGTTAAACTGAATACGAGCAAAGGGCGGATTACAAATTTTCCCTTTTCTCAACATTATTATTTTCACCTGTGCGATGCACGGAATAGATTTGTTGTAATATATTATGAATATATAAATCGATATATAATTATTTAAATTATAACATCAAATATTATATAGTAAAATTAAATATATGGTTTGGATTGTTTATGTATTTTGATGTTATCATTGCTTGAATTTGTGCAAATAATTGCTCAAATTAATAGCTAATGTCTAGATGTACGCATGCGGTGCTATAACTTTGAAGATTTTATTTATTATTGTTTAGTATTCTCATAAATTAAGCAAATGTGCTCGTTCTCTAACAACTCAGTTATAGGAATGAATTGTTATCCTAATTTATTTGTATGGTAGATATATTTTTTTGTCTAGATATATAGCAATTTTTCCATTTTAAAAAAAAACTATAATATCACCGGTTATATTTACACATTATTGAAACCTCTACCTTTGTAGACGACATTGGTAGTGGCAACATAATCTTGTCCATCCTCGTCTAGAACTAACACCTTCCGTCCATCAAGACGGGTTACTCGGGTTAAAATATCACTCAATTAGTGATCCTTTTATATGTTCAGTCAATTAGTAATATCAGATTCATTTTTAGCCAATTATTCTTTTTTTTTTCAATCAATTAGTCAATTAGAATATCGAATGCAGTAAACTCGAGCATATATTCTCCGCATAATCATATGGTATTTTCATTCTTCTATTGTATCTGTATTCCTCTCGTTGTAAACTTGAAAATTGCCCAGTTGGATTTGAAGCTATGGTAATACTTTTCATTTCTTTACTTATAGAGAACATCTTCCTTTCTTGAGTTACCAAATCCAGAGATATGAAGTATGGTACATCCGCATGCTCTAAATTCGGATCCTAATCCAGATCAACGGCACGGTCTAGAAATACAAGCAATTCTCCATCCACATTCCAAATTTCTATTGGTCTCCAAAATTCAATATAATTATTATATATGTTTGGAGCATAATCTATGCGTGCTTGTTTACACCAATAAGTATTGTTGTCATTTTCAATCATTAACCAAATATCAATGCATCTGGTATTCCCCACATTTGGTGAATCAAATAAAACAATAGTCTCATTCATTATTGAGACTGTTAGATGGCAACTAAATCGTCCCAAACACCTCATTATTCATGTCAAACCAAATCAAGTATTGAATAATGTATTGCTTGTAATACCTTTCAGCCTACCAATAGTACTCCCCTTTTAAATAAAAATCATTGCTCATATTTTGACAAGATGTAACTGAATTAATCTGTATCAAACTCCAAGAATCACTATAATCTTGACTATAAACCATTGTTATTTGGTGAAAAGTTCTCCCGTCAAAAGTATAAATTTCTAATAGCATGACAACCTTCCAAGTCATGATGTTGTTAGAAATCCCAAATCCAAATTCGCTAAGTGCAAATAATCCATCACAAGGTGCTTTGTAAGGACAGTAACCGAGGGTAAGGCTTTAACTTTCCTAATGGAGGGATTCCATATTAAAATATCATAAATAAGATAATCACCTTATCAAGTTTATCATTCTTAGTCGAAATCAAGCATAACATACCTTTACAACACTTAACCCACTGCATTCCTGGGATGTCTAAGTATATGCATCCAATCTCATTATGGTTGTTTGTAAAGCAAATAATATTCTCTAAAATTCCAACCAACCTCTAATAGAACACAATCGGTTTTTGCTTTGCTAATTTCGTAGTGTTTGTGCATGAAGTGCTGATCACTTTTTATCAAATCATAGAAAAATTTACAAACACACTTAAATCGCATAAGAGACTTTACCCGTAGCTCGATAAAATATCAATCACCAGATCCCTTGACAATTTGCAATTTTCCATTTTCAGGCCGAGATCGAGTTTCAAAGATCGAACAATTCAATGCATGATGTGCCTTCAATCGTCAATATGCAGTATTGGCGATGACGGAGATCTGAGAACATATATAAAATGTTATTGAAGACTTGTATTTGAGTTGTAATCCGAGCAAGGGGCGCATTACAAATTTTCCCTTTTTTCAATATTATTATTTCTTGTGTATTCAGTTATGAACTTTTGTAGACTTTTAAAACTTTATAAAGATTCTATAAAAGTGTATATAAAAAATATTTATAAACTTTTATCAAAATTTTTATTTTAAAAAAATCTAAAAAAGTAATTGAAACTCTAAATTGAATACATCCTTACAAATTAAATCTGTATTTACATAAACAATGCATATATAACAACATTGCAAATTGCATATCTTGAGAGGATTCACAACCCTTCCTATTCCTTCCAACCTCTCTAAACTACTGTTTCTATTAATCAATGTATGCATTTCACCCCCACCCCACCCCTCTATAATTTATAGCTGAATAAATTAAAACTTGTCTCTATATCATGACAAAAGGATCTATCCCAAAAAGACTTTCATCTTTGACTTTGCTTAATGGTAAATAATTTACTTTGTTCACTTTGCAGCCTCCACAGACCACAGGTATCATGTAATTTGTTCTTCCTTGAATTGCAGGAGTGCAGCAGGGTTGTGCTGCCTCAGCTGTAACGCGGAAGCATTATTGATTGTGTTGTGGCTGCTATTTCTAGCTGCTGGTACGTCATGGTTATGCTTGCCCTCGTACGTTGTTATGACAGCTTTTGGATCACTTGCAAGCCTTTCGACGTGCTTTCGCACGTTGCATTCAGGAGTGGTACATTTATAGTAGCTTCTGCAAAAAGTACAAAATCGATTCTAAGCACATATTATGAATTCGACAATAGCATATATGAACTGCATAGAACTGAACCAGTAAAACATTGAAAAATTATGGAGGTTTAGGATTAGTCTGGCGTAAGCTGGAAACCTAATGTATAAAAGACATTGTACATTTCATGATTAGTGGTGTACTGACTAATGGAAACATAACTAGAGTAATTCATTACTGGTGATAACATATTACCTTGGAAAAGGGTTCCCTTTAACAACTTTCTGCCCATATTTTCTCCACCTATATCCGTCTTCTAAAAGATCAACTTCACTAGTAGTCTGAACGACGATCTTTGGTTCTGTCACTGTCCGATGTGATGTTACTGGCTCTGGGATCTGCCCTTCTGTGGCCCTGCAAAATGGATGTACATACACATTAAAAGCTTTTAGGATGCAACCCCATTATGTTGTCTTAAAGGGAAATGAGACATACCTACGCTTTGATTCACGTTCATCATCATCACCCAACTTATCACTTTCACTTGATCCAGACATGTTTTCTTTAGTAGCGAGGTCCTTCATTGGTAATGATTGAAAGGCAACTCCATCCATGAGATTCAGTTCAGAGCTGACTTGAAGGCCATTTTGATTTCCAGTATCCTTGGCCCCCTTTCGGGGTTGAGGTGGCTGATGGTTGTGCTTGCCCTTGTATATAATCTCGGTTATCTGACCATCCAGAGAACGCTCAACCTTCTTCTTCACTGGACAATTTGGATGAGTACACTTGTAATAACTTCTGGGAAACTCACTCCCCTTGATGGGTTTCTGCCCATACTTTCTCCAGTTGTAACCATCATCAGCAGGCTTGTCAACAGGAAAAGAATAAGGTTCTGATATATTATCTGAGACATTAGATGATTCTTTAATGCTGTTAGGATCTAAAAACTGGGGTGCAGGAGGCAAAGATGAAGATGGATGGTCAGATAAAATGCGAGGTTGACTCGTAAGCTGAGCAAGTGCTTGCTGATGAGAGATTCCAAAATGGCCCTGTATAATCAAAAGCAAACATAAAGAAAGAGAGTTGGTTAGAAAGACAATAACTCAATTGCATTATTAGTATATGCCACAGTTCAATTGTGTTCAAAGTTTTTTTTTTTTTTTTTTTTTTTTGGTGAGTAAAGAGGAGCTTAGAGCTCCAGAGAATTAAACGATCCTTCTAGTGGCTACATAATGTTCAAAGTTTTTCTAAGGAATCACATATAGTCATATATATTATGTAATAGCTTCCAGAATTAAAGTCAACTGGGATTTAAGATTTGATCAAAACAAACTGCAGTAATTAAACTATAGATAAAGTGAAAAAGAAATGAAAATTTCTTAAATAACCTGGCCAGGAGAATCCAGCAAACTGGCAGGGCTGAAACCGGGCGGTATAGTAAATATTGACGGTTGAGTTATTGCCAAACCGGCCGGGCGGTTATTCCTGAAACTAAAATCAACATCTCCACCACCCTCCTCCTCCTTTGAATTAGCATGCACCGCCGCCGTGGCCGGCAGTTGCGGCCGAACTCCGGGAAAAGCCATGGCACCGGCCAGCAGCTGAGAAAACGAGCGGCACTCAGACTCCTGATCATTCTCCGCGAACAAACTCGACACTAGAGTCATCGGTCCTGGACTCACCCCGCCGGTGAACAGACCGTCCATCGGACTCAGCGCCGGCAAGGTAATAGTCGGCCGCGCCGAAGCCGACCTCAACGACGAAGACGTCGACGCTCGTCCCGCATGATTCTCCGCCATTGATTCCGCTCACTTCTCTCTGACTTTCACATACACCAAATTCAAGAATTAGAAAATTTAGAAAAACCGTTCACACCTTTTCCTCCATTACTGTCGTCTTCTTCTTCTTCCTTTTTCGTGCCTGAAATATGTGCTCTGAAAGCTAAGCGGTTTCTTCGTTGTGTTGTGCTGAGGATCTGAAAACTTTCAGCCAAAAGTCCACGCTGCAGATACCGAAATGGGGAGAGCTTTTCTTTTGTTCTATTCGCAGAATTATTATTTTTTTTAAATGGCTATTTTAACCGATTTACCATTTTGCCCCCAAACGTTTTAGAAGTGACCGTTTGACTCTTGTGCTTCAGTAGATTGATAAAGTAGTTATGACATGCTCGATAGGGCATTAGTTCTAATATTATAAGTGTTTCCTCATAGGAACGCCCACGAATTTGGTTAATGACTCTTCGTGCTTTCTCAGATGTTAATCTAAAGCGTATCTTCTGGTTTTTTCTTCTTTAGCACCTGGTACATAAAGTTTGCCTCCTACTAATGAATCATAAGCATCTAGATATTTTTTTTTTTGTATTTTAGTATTAACATTACCGACGACAAGATTATCACTTTTTGTGTCCTTGGAAATTAAAATTAAAGTAGATGCAAATTCTCCCAATTTGTGTCCTAGCTACCATATGATCCTATATAAATAGGCAGATGCTCTTTTCCATTATGGATGGCAATAGTATGACCAATCATTGTGGGTATAATAGAGATATTGCATTGTAATAAAGTCAATAATGCTATAAAAATTACCAAATAATAAACATTTAATGCATAAAAGATGAACTTTTAAAAAATGAATATTAAATGTATTAAAATAAATCTTTAATATATTTGAAATGAACATTATGATATTGGTTCATATTGTAAGATGAAATATCGTCCATGATATAATGATTGACTTTTTTATATATATTTTTACTAGACTTCACCTATAATGCACATTTGGAATATAGTTACATGTTTTTCATAAATAAAAGAGTTGACATCATGCATGCGAAAGCATTACCGTCCTTGCGGAGTTGGATAAAATAGTCAGAGAAAATTGGGCAACTTGTTTTTCTAATTAAAGGGCATATATGACAACTTGACAAGTGACAACGAACATATTGCCATATTATTGGTATTAAATTAGGCAAGTTGATATTTATTTATTTCTTGAGTAAAACTTGGAAAAAATAACAATTAAACAATTTTTAAGATTCGAGGTGTTGTGTGAACACTACACGTAAGATAGTATAATATTTTTATAGGTTATTAAAATATTATATTTTAATTAAAAATTATTATATATGTCTCTGTTTAGTAAAAATTAGCCTATAGGTTAATTTTAGCTTATTTTTCACTATTAATTGTTTGATTTAGTTAAAAAATAAATATAAATATTTGGTTAATTAGTTTTTTGCAACTCCAAAATGCTAAAATTCAAAAAGTTACTCCAAACAACTTTTTCAATTAGCTTTTTGAGAAAAGAAATTATAACAAACACTTTTTTACAATCAGCTAATGTTATCAACTATTTATACCCTCTAATTAACAGTTATCAGCTAATAGCCATTTTACTAAACATGGCCATATATCACGTGAAACGATTGTACAAACGATTTATTAAGTCAACATTTGAAACTATTTTTTAATAGTGTAATCACCTTTAGTCATTGACTATAAGAATTATCGATGTTAATCATCGACTATAAAAATGATCGATGTTAATCTTTGACTATAGTGACTATTGGTCCTTAGTCATGACATTTGACATAATTCTATTACAGATAATGATAAACTTGTAATTTCTCAGGTTACAACTATGATTTATGCACTTTGTAGTGTATGAAGGCAATCAAAATCGTTGTTTGCACATGTGGACAAGAGTAACTTTGTGAAATTAGGAATGGGGGTTAGGGTTTCTCACCCCAATTATTGATTTATTTGTTTTTTGAAATGGCAATAAAGGGCATAAATCAAAACTAAGCTATGAGAAATTTTAAGTTTATCATCATTCCTAATGCAAATTTATCGAATGTTATGACAAATGATCAAATGTGTCAAACATAACAATCAATGGACTAATATCGGTAGGCCAGCCCGGGATTAGTTTGAGTATAGTATAAACTTAAAGGTTTCTTCTACAGTTAGGGCCTATTCAGAACACTTCATGAACTGATTCAAAAAAAAAAAAAAAAAAAAAAAAAAAAAAAAAAGATTAATATTGGTCATTCAAAAATAAAATTACTCTTAATTTTTAATATGCGCAAGTTAATTACGAGCAAGATTGAGTTGGAGAGTGGTTTGGTGTGATTGTATATTCGTTGCGGCAAGATTGACAAATTGTTGTGCAGATTTGACGACCAAGCTTTTCTTATTTGATTGTTTACTCCTTTATTTGTATTATATTAGTAGAAGACAAATTTATGATCAAAGAATATTGTTGTATAAAATTTTCAAATTGTATAAATTCACTGAATTTAAAATGTTGAAATATAGCTATCATGAATTATAGTTTTCCATCAATAAGCTTTCAATAGCATTAAACGAAATTTAGTAACAACAAAAAAGTTCATGAATGACAAAACATTTGAGAGCGAAATGGCAATTATCCAATTTCAACCATTAGTGAACATGTGAATTTAATGTCAAAAATAATGAAATTTTTTAATGGACAGATGAATTAATGACTGTGAGCCCAACAATTAATAAATAAATAAATTACCGAATCAAAAATAGTATCATACTTTTGATGCGACTAATTATTATTGAGTATCCATAAAAGATCATAACATTGCTATTTAACAAATACTTGTACCATAAATCAATGTCAAATTATAATAAAAATATATAAAATAATATGATTTGTTTAACAAAACAGTATTACGAAACACAAAATATTAAACATTATCATTAAATAATACTCATTTATTTTTTAATTAATTTTTTTAAAATCACTTTTAACAAGTCACTACCATAAATTTACCATAAAAATCTTTTTAATTCTTGTTACAACGTAACCCATCCCCCTTATATTTAGAGAACTATGTCTAACCCTAACTGACAAAGGAACACAAGAAAATTAGTATAAATTACATATTCAATTATATAAGAATGGCATCATACTTATTTTCAGCAACATCAGATGTGCCAAAATATATATAGTAATGAAAGCAAATAGCAATAGTCAGTCACAAGCATCATATCATTAGTATAATTGGTTGTGTAGAAATTGTTTAAATCCCATCAAATCACATAAAAAGATAACTAAATAGCACATGAATCGAACCGAATACTCATAGAGAGACCAAAATTCTTAAACTCACATAATCCTAAAAATTAAGATAGAAATATATCGAAACAAGTAAAATCCCGTAGGAGAAATTCTTCAACAAAGTTGTCCACGGTATATTCTTCTAGTTCTTCGGGCCGATATCCTTGAGGGCACAGATCTGCTCCTCACCCATGGCAGACATCACAGACACAACAAGGTCCTTCCCCTCACCAAATCCATCTTTGATCTACACAACATAGTTAAAAGCATAACAGTATTTAGGCACAAATTCTCCGTAACTAGCTACATTTTTAACAAAACTATCCATCGGACCCTCACTCAACGAAAATATTAACTCAAGAAAAATTACACACGGATACAAAAATGATATCTATTCATCAATAAATACTTGGTTCTAGCCGTAACAATAATAGCAATACAACTTAAGGTACCTAATTGTAATGTAATATTCACTAACCTGTGTAAGCAAAGATTCATCAGTTGGAAGCCTAAGGTCATCCTTAGTGTTTCCATTATCGGTGAGCAAACTCACCTGCAACATTTAACAAACAGAATATTACTTTAAACTCGCAATGAGGATTTACTAAAGCAAGAGAAATCAGTCTAGACATACAAATCCATCCTCTGAGATATCAATAAGCTGATAATCTGTACGGGAAACATGGGGAACCTGCAATTAAGAATTAAGAATTAAAAATTAAGGTTAGAATTAAGAAACCAATTTTAGCACATCATAACTTGGAGGAACACAAAACAACAAAAATTATAGAGAGGTGCATACATCACAATTGTGAGAAGAAGGAACAATATCTTCAAGCTTCTTAGCAGTGAAGATATCAATCGCAACAAAGTGACACTTGGCATGACCGTGCTTGCCAGTCTTAGATGTGGAAACCTCCACAACCTGTAATAGACAAAAGGATTAGCCCATAGCATAACCCAAGAAATTATTGAGTTAACACAAGCACATGATGAAAATGTTCAGCCTAAGTATGCAACCAAACAGATCTTATGCAATGCCCAAAAGAGTCCAAGTTGGTACAAGTTGTTCACAAGTTCAACTCCGAGTGGGAGTTGCCTATTAGACTTGGTTTTGAGAAGGTCAATTATGAACAACCTAGGTTGATTTACCTTGCACATGGTGCAAACAATCAGGTAGTGTCAAACCCAAACCATACAAAAAAATATACATATTAACCTAACAAATAATTTTCTTACTATTACTATTTTCTGTTGTTTAAAAAAAAAAAAAAAAAAAAAGAGCAAAGTTTGTATCTGCTCAAAGCTAGATACTAATATACTAATAACAGATTACACCAAATTTTGTTAACAAATGTAGCAGCACACAGTTATAGGTCAGATTCAACTCAACCAATATTCAATAGCTTCACTAAACCTTGGGCTACACTTCCATATATTCATAATAGAAACCATTCAAAATATACTAAACTCCCATCTACCAGGGATCTAACAAGTAGTAACAAAGCTCAAAGGGAACATTAATTCAGAACTAAAAGCAATCTACCATGCCAGATCTAAACACAAAAGGCAACCGCAGTTTCAGATTCAAACAGACAACTAAACAAGAAAACCGCTACAGCTCAATTTCTTTCTAGAATCAATCGCTTCAAAACAAATTAAATAGGTTTCAATTCTCCAAGAACTGAGGATATCAATTCAAATACAACTACCACAACTACATACTAGTAACATAAACAAATAATACAGCACAAACTTGAGATCTATAATCAACAAAATTCATACAAAATTCATACGAAATAAATAATATGTAGAAAGAGAGACCTTGCAGGGACGATTCTTGATGACAATGTAACCGTTCTTACGGATAGTGCCAGCCTGCTGAGGATAAGTCTTAGAAGCTCCGGCGTCGGCCTTGGACTCAAAATGATGCTCCTCGTCCGACATGTTTTCCGTGCTAAAATCCGGCGACGAAGGTAGAAAAACGTAGGAAGTAGGGGCGAGGAGGCGATGCAGAGTATGAGCACGTGTTCTCTTTTTATATACTGTCTCCAGTATTCGAGGTTGAAGAGAATAGGGTTTTCGAAATCAAGTAGAACACTACAAGAGGTGCATATCTGGCCGTTGGATCTTGATATTCCTTTTGCCCTTTGATTCTGCGTAGAAATGACGCAGGCAATATCCGACTCTAATAAGCGCACATCAAATATTTATTTTGGTCCCACAATTTTTTATTTTTTATTTTTTCACTTGTTTTTATTAACATTTTTTATATATTTTTATATTGAAACATAAAAATCAATATTAGAAATTCAAGCTTGACTTGAATTAATTGATGGAACACCAGAAGTTATATGCACAAAAAAATCTTTTTTGACATATTTTTAGGCTGGGATTATCTCAGCCAATCTCCCCTTTGCAATCTCATGTAGCAAATCCAGGTTACTATTTTCATTTTTTTTTTTTTAAATTAAGAGGGATTTAAAAATTTACAATTTCAGCAAATTTGAAAATCTCTGAAAAAGCTGCCGCGGCAAAGCTGTTGTATTTTTTTTATTTTTTTTCCTTTTACTTTTTAATATTTTAATATTATTAATAATATTATTTTAATATGTTAGGCCTACTTTTAAAAGTTAATTAGATTTGTAAAGATATAGTGTGAATAATAAATAATTGCCAATAAAATGAGGTAGAAGTGAAACTCATTTTTTAAAGTGGAAATAATTTACAAGGATAATGTTATCTCTCCCAAACCTTTTTTTGACATCTTTTACATTTCTCAATTAAAACTCTTTTGTTATTTTCTCTTTTATCTTACTAGTATTTGCCATGTGCGATGCACAAACAAAAATTTATAAGTATTGTTGTAATGTTATTATATAAAACAAAATTAATTTTATTGAAAATGTAAATATAGTTTAAAACAATAAATCTGACAAAAAATGCATTCATATTCCTAATCTCATTTGCAATAATGATTTTACAAAGTTAAACGGACAAAGAAAGACCCGGACCACCTCGTGGTTTACAAACAAAAAAAATAATGATCTTACAAATCTATTAATATGCATTCACATTTGGGTGGAAAATTTTTTTCCTACTTGATTTTATTTTACCTAACTTTCTTTATAAATTATTAAAACTAATCAAAATTACAAACTATTAAAAAGTTAGTATATATATATATATATATATATATATATATATATATATATATATATATAAGTTTTAATATAACAAATGTTGGGCTAATATATAATTACATTTTTAAAAAATTTATGGGCTAAACCTGTATATATATTGCTGCAGCCCATTTTTCCAAAGTCCATTTATACTTTTGGAGGGGAAGCTAGGATTTTGCTTTATTATATATAAAGATTATTTATTCATCTTTCTCAAACGACTTCTTCACCGTCAAACATCCTTTTTCATCTTCATTCGAACTCTGGGATCACTTGAATGGTTACATAATGAGCCCAATAAAGTTATTTATACTTTTTCCATCTCATTCGAACACTGGGATCACTTGAATGGTTACAAAATGAGCCCAATAAGGTTATTTATACTTATTTCATCTCCTCATCAGACGGTGGAAATTTATTTGATCATATGACTATGATTATATTTCTAGAATCCTCTCTAAAATTTTATATAGTCATATGCGTTCTATAATGTTTTATAAGATACTATAAATCTCTACACTTTATACACACACATCAATCCTGCACATTCTTATCTTTGAAGTTGTATTGAGAAGTCGTTTAGAGTATTGAAGAAGGGATGAAAGATATTCCGTACTTGCTAAAATGTCGCAATTAGTGTGGAGACCCAAATTAATGTTATTATGATCACATTTGCACTACATAATTATATTCGGAAGAATTCGCAAGATGACATGATGTTTAATGTGGTTGAGTAGTACCCAGATTACATACCGCCCGATGAACTTCAAGATTCAAGTAGTAATATCTCCATCAACAAAAATTTAAGTGAGACATCTATTGAGATGGAAGAGATTTGCAACAATATTGCTACCACATTATGGGATGCTAGATCATGATTATACTAATAGTTGGATAAGAAATTATTATGCTAATAGTTTAATTTCAAAATGTTAAATTTTAATGTGTAAACAAACCTATTTAAATTTTATGAAGATGTCTTTTTAGCCTTTTTAGATTTATCAACTTATCAAAAAAGTTAATTTTACCAAATATTTTTAAGCATAATCAACTAGTTTAATAACTCTTCATTTTTCCGTTTATAACTTATAGCTTTTCAGGTAGATTTGTCAAACATGGACTACACTAAAAATATTATATACAACATGCTCGATTAAAAATATACTGACAATAATATAACTCATACAGTAACATTTTAGTACGATAATATGCTCCACTAACTTGACATTTTCTTTTGGAGCTATTTTGTTCTAACTCTAATATTAAAAGATTCAAAGCAAACACCAATAAATTTAAAGAAAAACTGACACTTTTCTTCCTTAAATTACGAAAAAAGTATTAGTTTTGGACCATCAATTATTTACAAAGTAACTTTTTTTTTGGGTTCTTCAAACTATCATAAAATTGACTTTTTAACTCAAATGTAATAGAATTAAGGGATGAAAATGATAACAAACCTAATTGAGAAACAAAAGAATGTTACTCCGTATTTTTCTAATATACAAAGTGTAATTTATTTTCTAAATTTGACTTTTATTGTTCAGTTTAAGTTGTATTGTACTTTTTACATAATTAAAGTATATATTATTTGAGTTAACTTTGCATAAAATTCAACTGAGAAATTTGATGGAATGAATAAAAATAAAAATAACCTATACAATTTGTAATTGAATTATAATAAATAATTTTTTAATAACTATATGATGGTATGCATTGATTAGTCACTTTTTTTGTAATAACTTACAAATTAAAAAAATAGATAAATCAATATATAAATAATATTAATCTAAAAGTAAAGTGAGTTATGCAATCATGCAAAGTTCATTTTCTTTATATCTCTACTTCTTGTTTAAACCAATCACATTAGACAAAAGGTGCAAAAATCATTTTCCAATTAGAATACCATTAACACTAACAACTAATGACATGATTTCAAGAACCCAACCACCGAAAGTAGAGTTTACTGGCAACTTTCCATGTTGGGGCACTTTATCCTTTGCAATACATATACATATTTTTCCCATAAAGGGAAAAAAGAAAACATATAAATATCTAAATCATTTCATAGCAACAAGATTAATTAAAAAAAAAAAAAAAAAACTTGAAACTGTACCGACAATTTGAATCTAAAAGCATTGGCTACGATTACACAGCAAAGGCTAATACATATGACAAATTTACAGTGTTGGAATCACAACCTTAAACAATGTGCCTCCAAAGAAGAAGTGGAAACACGGTTGCATTTCAATTGAAAATGGGAATCACAACATACAGCTTTACAGCAGTGATATAATATTCCTCTACCTGTTCAACAAATGGAATCAAGGGCCCGATTGCGTTTACTTCAATTATCTTTCATTCTCTGTTTTCAAATGGCAAAAATGTAGAAATACACAAATTTACTATTCTCGTTACTCCATAAAAATTTGAAAGTTTCTTTAGTTAATAACCGTATCCTAATTGTTCACCCACCCTTTGGTTAAGTGACCGTACTCCAAGATTGATTTCCAAATGGAGAATGAGAATTGCAAGCAAAAACCAACATTTTCCAGAGTGTAAGAGTTTCGTTGGTGATCAACCTCAAAAAAATAAGGGCTCGATTCCTCCTACAAGGTAAATTCTGATAATTCAAATGCGAGATTGTAAGCACTTGATTTCAGAGTCATCTCAGTCATGCGGTGCCAACAAAAGGTGACTCGCTTTGAAAGTTCTCGACTTTGTGTATAAATATCTGTGGTAGCTCTTCCCTGTCATGAGCAGAGTACAGGTTTTTAGTTATTTAAACATTTCTAGTATAGGAGAAAAAGGAACACCTATTTAGACAGCTTGAGTGAGATTCAATGCAAAAAGATTTATTTTCAGCATCCGGGTTTATAAAGTGGATTGTCCATTTAGCACCAGATTCTAGGCTAACTAAAATATTGGAATAAGGGTAAAATAAGTCATCGAGGTACATGTGAAACTGCAATTGGACCATCCAACCCAAAAAAGAACCGCAATTGGATCATCCAACTCAAAAAAAAAAACAAAAACAAAAACAAACTGCAATTAGATCATCCAACTCAAAAAAACTGCAATTCGAGATGAAAGTGGGGGCGGGGGCGGGTTTTTGTTTTGTTTTTTTTTCCTTTTTATAATTATTACTTTTTAAAAAAAAAAATTATTACAATGAATTTAATTTTTTAATTTTTTAAATAAAATAACCACCACATCAGCAAAGACCGAGTAAACAAGTCATTTTAGGTTAAACTGCATGATTTTGTATTGTTCAGGGATCCAAATGCAATATTTTTTGAGTTGGGAGTAGTTCGAATGCCTATTTGACCCTTAATCCTTAAATATTTATAGCATACAAGGAATGAAACACTAGTTTCGGCAGATGTTCAATGCTAAAACCATCATATTCAACCTCCAGGTTTATAATATGGATTGTCCATTGACCACCATATGAAAAAGAATAATGAATTAAACAAGTCATTTTTGCAGACAACATTTGCAAATAATACTTGAGAGCGTTAATGTGTCTAACCTTTCGCCAGCTTCTTGGTAAGTGTAACTCGATGCAACAGCTAAAAGGAATCCATCATGGTTGTATGACAAAGAAGCAATACTATTTGGATACCTTGAAAACTGAAAACAAGGGGGGGAAATAAATCCGTACAAAATCATTCAGGATCATAAATTATGTCAAACAAAATGTAGAACCACATGTAAAGGTGTATGATAACGAATAGAAATAACAGAATCGAATTGGAAAGGAAGCTTAACATAGCATATTAGCATGAGAGGCACACAATTCTATTGTAATCAAATAGAGTACCTCAAACAGTCGCTTCTTGTAGCAAGCATCCCACATAATTACATAGCCCTCATTATCACCCGTTACAAATGAACCACTATTTCTGAAAGAACGAAAATGGCACAATCAATTTAATTTCTGTTGTTCAGAAACAAGAAGTTGATGATACAAAATACTTACAATGGACTAAACGCAATGTCATTCACTGACTCCACACGATTTCTTCCGTCTGTTCCCTTTGGATGGCATCGGAAAGCATATCTGAAAAACAGAAATAAATAAATTCAGAAGAAGAGTTTTGCAACCTGAGACGAGTTTAAACCCAACAAATAAAAATAAAAAAGTTGCACAAAGTAAATTGGTTTGTTTAATGAACTCATACTAACCCCTTATCCAAATTGGATTCACAGATATACTCCAAAGCAACCCGTCCATCGACTGATCCAACCACAAACCCTGCATAAATGGACTACTCAACTTAAAAGTTGACAAAAAGAACAATCACATTCAGTAGCTTAAAGATAAAACTAAAATTGACTTGAAATTTCCTATAACAGTCAACCGTATGCAAAATATATATATATATATATATATATATATATATATATATATATATATATACAAGTTGAAAGGGCATTGGCTTATATTGTGCCAAATTTGTCTCCTGCTACAAAGAAATATGCACATAATAAACTGAAAGCCAAACCAATGCGCAAATGCGCAATACTTATCAATAAAACAGGGGTAAGTTGCACATAACTAGCATGACTACCCAACCAACTCCCCCACTCATAGTCTACGTTGGTAACACAATTGATGACCTATCTGTCCATATTGTATTAGAATGTTGTCATAATACCTTCATAATGAAGAATAGGGCGGACACATTTTACTCGGATATCTTTCTTGTGAACCGATTTTCTAAGAGAACGGAAGTCATAAATGATTACAGAGGAATCAATAGCAACCATCAAATTGAAGCCAGAGAGATACATAGACTTTGGCTCTGATGTTAGATTGTTCAAGTGTCCAACGGACTTAGCTGATTGTGCATCCCAAAAGATTATATTCTTATCCCAACCAGCAGTAATCAATTGACCTACACAAAGCAATGAGAAGTTTACCAAAGTAAGATAAGACAATCAAACAAAGAAAAAATCCAAAGAGCAAGCATAATGAAATATGGTAGCCCTAGCCACTGTACCTAAAATAAAATCACTTTAACACATAAAAAGATTGGTGGTACAAAAATTGAAATATCCCAGTACTGGGAATTTTATTTGCAATACGGCTTACATGTCTCAGGAGAATACTCAACAAAAGTTGCCATATCATCATGATTCCCTATTGTTGATTTATGTCCCGAATGCATATCATACCTAGCAATTTTCCAATACAAAATGTCACATTTCCATCACTCAATGCAATCATACAAGCAAATTTGAAGATGCAAGAAAGGAGGCTTCTTATACAATTCAGAAAACCCAACTAGTCACTCATTAGAGGCTCATTACTGCCAGCAGAGAAAACAGAACAACCGAGCTCAACAAATTGAGAATATTTTAAGAGAAAGGAAAAAGATTTGAGATAACTCGAGTGACAAACCTGTGAATAGAACCATCAGAAGCAGCACTAAAAGCCACGGAATCATTTTCAAGACAGCAATCAAGAAGTGCAGCTTCCCCTTGCGATTCCAACCTCAGCTTTGAGCTTTCAACATCGTACAACCGAAGACTCTACAAGCATTAGAACCACAAAATTTGTAAGCGCCAACATTCACAGATGCACACAAATATTCAACAATATACTGCATATTACTTACAGTATTCATGAAGAAATTCTACAGGCATTAGAACCACGAAAATTGTAAGCAAAACAGAAATGCAGCATTCACATGGGAACACAAATATTCTACAATACACTGCATATTACTTGCACTATCCCATGAAGAAACTCTACAAGCTTTAGAACTACAGAAATTGAAAGCACAACAGAAATGCAGCATTCACGGTGTGCACACACATTCAAAAATACTGCATATTCCTTACATTGTCCCATGAAGAAATGAGAAGATTGTTGGAACGCGGAGCAAATCGGACCCTCGAAATGGCGTCTCGGAGCGGGTTTTCGAGACTCAAAGGAGTCGCATCCATAGCTGCTCAGAACTCCAAAGCAAGCTTGCTGAATTGAGTCTAAGCCCTAAAATTTAGGTGGAGGGAAAACACGGGGAATTCAGAAATAATTTAAATTTAATTTAAACCCCTTGTTTTTAAAATAGTACACCTGAAAGCCTTGATGTCAATAAAAGGTTTTCTTTTTCCCTCAATAGGGTGAGCGAACTGTCTACATAGCTGACTGAAAAGCCAATTGAAAATTCCACAATTTTTTTTTTTATTACAAGGGAAAGAAATATTCACATTTACAAATACTTTAACGTGATTCGAACCCAACACCTCCCATGTAGAAAGCAACTTGATACCAATTGAAAATTTCACAATTAATAATTAAAAAATAAATTAATTACTAAAATGGTCACTTGACTATAGTGAAATTACCAATTTGGTCCTTGACTATTTTTTTTAACCAATTAAGTCCCTCAACTTTAAAAAATTTAACCAATTTGGTCCTCCGTTAGTTTGACCGTTAGTCAACGATTAACTTTGGACCAAATTGGTAATTTTGCTATAGTCAATGGACCATTTTGGTAATTAACTTTAGGGGTGGACAATTCGATTTAGTTTTCTCGAATCGAACCGTACCAAACCAAACCGAAGTAATATACCAAACAACCGAACGATATTGAATTCTTATATTAGACTTTGGATATGGACTATGTAAACATCATAACACATAATATAAGAACTTTTGATAACAAACCATAAAGAAATCAAATAAAACATTTACAAGAGATACCCATGAAAATATGAGCTGAACGACAGAGCAAGCAGTAAGGGACTTGGATTTACTTTTTATTTATTTATTTATTTATTATTATTATTATTATTATTATTATTATTATATTTTAAAAGAAATCAAATTGTATTCGGTTCAGTTCAATTTTTTACCGAACAATTCAGATTGGATCGGATTTTTTATCGAACTGTTCGGTATACAAGAATTCAATATCGTTCGGTTGTTCGGTATATTACTTCGATTCGGTTCGGTACAGTTCGATTCGAGAAAACTAAACCGAATTGCCACCGCTAAAGTTAATTACCAAAATGGTCTCTTGACTATAGAGAAATTACCAATTTGGTCCCAAGTTAACCGTTGACTAACAGTCAAACTAACGGAGGACCAAATTGGTTAAAAATTTTAAAGTTGAGGGACTTAATTGGTTAAAAAAAACAGTCAATGACCAAATTAGTAATTTCACTATAGTCAAGGGACCATTTTGGTAATTAACTCTTAAAAAATCAAATGAATAACAAATAATTCCACAATTAATAAATAAAAATTCTCCTTTCAAAATAAGTAATTAAAAATTGTAATGTGCAATACTATAAAATTCCAAATCAAAAATAAATAGGTAAACAAAATGTTTTAAAAATAATTTAATTTTTTTTTAAACATCGGAGATGAAGAAACCTTCTTCGTCTCCGGCCATGGAGACGAAGAAAGTTTGTTTTTTTTATAAATAATTACTTCTAAATAATTATTTTAAAAAACTAAAAGTTAAAGGACCGATTTGAGAAAATATCATAGTATGAGAGGACCATTTCAGGAATTAACTCTTTCAAGACACGAGCCAGAAAATGTTATAATGGGAGGGACTAGTGTCCTCGGAAAAATTGTCCCATCATGGGGTTTAAAAGGTTCGCCACTTTCTTTGAAGAATTGTCTCATAGTGTGACTTAATTGAATTAATCTTATCATGCAATATACGAATACTAATGCAATACATAAAGAGTTAATTCGGATGACACTAGCAAACCTGGCAAATTATTATATGGACCATGGTCCATACAATGTTATGTGAACCATAACAAAAAGTACATTTTTAATATACTAAATGTACATTATTTTTATACTGAATGTACATTATATAATATAATGTACACTCAGAACAAAAATAATATATATCCCCTGTATACAATATACATTATTTTTGTACTGAATGTACATTATTTTCTAGTAGACAAAATATAGTCCACACAACTTGTGTGGACCATGGTCCGCACAATAATAATTGAGCAAACCTAACTCTCTTGGATGCGAGCCATAAATGTTTTGTCAATCTCAATTTTCATCTCAACCTCAACAGGAGATTCCAACACCTCATCAATCCAGTCGCATCTCCTTCTCGGTGCAAGTCTCACAAGCCTATTGAAAATTGATTGATATAAGATTAGACTAAGATTGATATAACTTAAAAGAGTTTGAGGTAATTAGTGAGCGTACTATTAATATAATGCTAAGGTTAAAAGGACAACGATAAGGTGAAAATAGTGCACCATGAAATTAAAACTAATCTCACAATGCTAGCTAGAGATACAAATATGAGATACCCAGTTGTCATATAAAATTAAGGGAAAATCAAACTTTTGGTCCCTCAATTAGTACCCCATTTGCAATGTTATCCTTGCTTTCCAATTTGGACAGTTTTGGTCCCTCAATTAGTCCGACGTTAGTCAATTTAGTCCTTCTGTTAGGTAATCATCCTAAACTCCGTTTACAACATGGGTATTATAGGAATTTCACTTAGCCTTGATTATATTAGCTTAGTTCCTTCCCGTTGTGTCTGCCATTTCTTCCAGCACTACTTGCAACCCTAACCCGTTGGAAGAGGAGCTACTCCAAGCCATTTCATCCACCACTTTCTTCAACCGTAATCTTAATGTCTTCAAGCACAATGGAGTAAGTAAACCGCACTGTTGTTGTTCATTTGTTACCAAACACTAATTTGGTTTAGAGATATAGAGCTTGTCCATATTAACATGTAAGTAAACTGCAATGGAGTAAGTGCAACAAACAATCCTTATTTGTACTTGCAATGAGGTTTAGAGACCAGAGCCACACAACAAGGGTATAGAGTATCAAATGATGAGAGGACTTTACCAGGCCCCATTTGGTTTCTTGGACAAAGGAAAGAACAAGAGAGGGGATAAGATTTGCAATCCCTTTCTCTCAAGTTTGTTTGAGACGAGCCATCATACCCAACTGCAATGTCGAGCACTCGAGCATAGCATGCCGCAGCAGTGGATTGCAATTTTACTAGACTAGTAATAAAAGGGTCACTTTGCCCTCCGTTCCCACTAAAATTATTCCCTATGCACTCTTGTGGTACAAATATTTTCATCAAACTTCATTAATCCCATCATTAATCTAATGTTTATCTGAATCCTAATTCAAAAGCCCAGGAAATGAATAGATATTTCAATCTCATCTTTAAACCCCAAAGTCCACAAATAAAACATCACTTGTATTTCAACCAAACAAAGGAGTGAGCAGAAATGCAAAGTATTTCATAATTCAGCACATAAAACACCAATTATATAAATGAAATCCACAGAATTCAGATGATCAGATCACAAACTAAACTGTGCCTGTACATATAGATAAATACATAGTGAGAGATAAGAGGTTTACCTCTGAGAGGGAAGGGTAGATTTTAGTATCAATGGCAGCCATTGATTCAGTCAGCTGCGACTTGCGGGCGTTGAGAGAGGGAAAAAGTGATCTATGACAAGAAATTCAGTGGTGCGTGTGTGGTGAGTCGAGGAAAGATTCAAGAAGCTTAGAGAATAGAGAGTGAGAGGATGGTCAGTGGTCGATCGACGTGCAACAAATAATCCTTATACCATGTAAGTTGGTCCAAGTTGTTGGCTTGGTAACCTGTAAGGTTCCAAGTTCAACTCCAAGTGGGAGTTGCCTATTAGACTTCTTGGTTTTGAGAAGGTCAGTTATGAACAACTTAGGTTGATTTACCTCGCACATGGTGCAAACAATCGGGGAGTGTCAAACCCACACCATACAAAAAAATAAACATATTAACCTAACAAATAATTTTCTTAATATTACTACTTTTTCTGTTGTTTTTTAAAAAAAGCAAAGTTTGTATCTGCTCAAAGCTAGATACTAATATACTTACAACAGATTACACCAAATTTTGCTAACAAATGTAGCAGCACACAGTTATTAGGTCAGATTCAACTCAACCAATATTCAATAGTTTCACTAAACCTTGGGCTACACTTCCATATATTCATAATAGAAACCATTCAAAATATACTAAACTCCCATCTACCAGGGATCTAACAAGTAGTAACAAAGCTCAAAGGGAACATTAATTCAGAACTAAAAGCAATCTACCATGCCAGATCTAAACACAAAAGGCAACCGCAGTTTCAGATTCAAACAGACAACTAAACAAGAAAACCGCTACAGCTCAATTTGTTTCTAGAATCAATTGCTTCAAAACAAATCAAATAGGTTTCAATTCTCCAAGAACTGAGGATATCAATTCAAATACAACTACCACAACTACCTACTAGTAACATAAACAAATAATACAGCACAAACCTGAGATCTATAATCAACAAACATGTAGAAACAAATTCATACAAAAATAAATAATATGTAGAAAGAGAGACCTTGCAGGGGCGATTCTTGATGACAATGTAACCGTTCTTACGGATAGTGCCAGCCTGCTGAGGATAAGTCTTGGAAGCTCCGGCGTCGGCCTTGGACTCAAAATGATGAGCTAAAATCTCCGGCGACGAGGGTAGAAAAACGTAGGAAGTAGGGGCGAGGAGGCGATGCAGAGTATGAGCACGTGTTCTCTTTTTATATACTGTCTCCAGTATTCGAGGTTGAAGAGAATAGGGTTTTCGAAATCAAGTAGAACACTACAAGAGGTGCATATCTGGCCGTTGGATCTTGATATTCCTTTTGCCCTTTGATTCTGCGTAGAAATGACGCAGGCAATATCCGACTCTAATAAGCGCACATCAAATATTTATTTTGGTCCCACAATTTTTTATTTTTTATTTTTTCACTTGTTTTTATTAACATTTTTTATATATTTTTATATTGAAACATAAAAATCAATATTAGAAATTCAAGCTTGACTTGAATTAATTGATGGAACACCAGAAGTTATATGCACAAAAAAATCTTTTTTGACATATTTTTAGGCTGGGATTATCTCAGCCAATCTCTCCTTTGCAATCTCATGTAGCAAATCAAGGTTACTATTTTCATTTTTTTTTTTAAATTAAGAGGGATTTAAAAATTTACAATTTCAGCAAATTTGAAAATCACTGAAAAAGCTGCCGCGGCAAAGCTGTTGTATTTTTTTATTTTTTTCTTTTTACTTTTTAATATTTTAAATTATTAATAATATTATTTTAATATGTTAGGCCTACTTTTAAAAGTTAATTAGATTTGTAAAGATATAGTGTGAATAATAAATAATTGCCAATAAAATGAGGTAGAAGTGAAACTCATTTTTTAAAGTAGAAAAAATTTACAAGGATAATGTTATCTCTCCCAAATCTTTTTTTGACATCTTTTACATTTCTCAATTAAAACTCTTTTGTTATTTTCTCTTTTATCTTATTATTTATTAATCTTTCTCAAACGACTTCTTCACCGTCAAACATCCTTTTTCATCTTCATTCGAACTCTGGGATCACTTGAATGGTTACATAATGAGCCCAATAAAGTTATTTATACTTTTTCCATCTCATTCGAACACTGGGATCACTTGAATGGTTACAAAATGAGCCCAATAAGGTTATTTATACTTATTTCATCTCCTCATCAGACGGTGGAGATCTACTTGATCATATGACTATGATTATATTTCTAGAATCCTCTCTAAAATTTTATATAGTCATATGCGTTCTATAATGTTTTATAAGATACTATAAATCTCTGCACTTTATACACACACATCAATCCTGCACATTCTTATCTTTGAAGTTGTATTGAGAAGTCGTTTAGAGTATTGAAGAAGAGATGAAAGATATTTCGTACTTGCTAAAATGTCGCAATTAGTGTGGAGACCCAAATTAATGTTATTATGATCACATTTGCACTACATAATTATATTCGGAAGAATTCGCAAGATGACATGATGTTTAATGTGGTTGAGCAGTACCCAGATTACATACCGCCCGATGAACTTCAAGATTCAAGTAGTAATATCTCCATCAACAAAAATTTAAGTGAGACATCTATTGAGATGGAAGAGATTCGCAACAATATTGCTACCACATTATGGGATGCAAGATCATGATTATACTAATAGTTGGATAAGAAATTATTATGCTAATAGTTTAATTTCAAAATGTTAAATTTTAATGTGTAAACAAACCTATTTAAATTTAAAACTATTTAAATTTTATGAAGATGTCTTTTTTAGTCTTTTTAGATTTATCAACTTATCAAAAAAGTTAATTTTACCAAATATTTTTAAGCATAATCAACTAGTTTAATAACTCTTCATTTTTCCTTTTATAACTTATAGCTTTTCAGGTAGATTTGTCAAACATGGACTACACTAAAAATATTATATACAACATGCTCGATTAAAAATATACTGACAATAATATAACTCATACAATAACATTTTAGTACGATAATATGCTCTACTAACTTGACATTTTCTTTTGGAGCTATTTTGTTCTAACTCTAATATTAAAAGATTCAAAGCAAACACCAATAAATTTAAAGAAAAAGGGACACTTTTCTTCCTTAAATTACGAAAAAAGTATTAGTTTTGGACCATCAATTATTTACAAAGTAACTTTTTTTTTGGGTTCTTCAAACTATCATAAAATTGACTTTTTAACTCAAATGTAATAGAATTAAGGGATGAAAATGATAACAAACCTAATTGAGAAATAAAAGAATGTTACTCCGTATTTTTCTAATATACAAAGTGTAATTTATTTTCTAAATTTGACTTTTATTGTTCAGTTTAAGTTGTATTGTACTTTTTACATAATTAAAGTATGTATTATTTGAGTTAACTTTGCATAAAATTCAACTGAGAAATTGGATGGAATGAATAAAAAATAAAAATAACCTATACAATTTGTAATTGAATTATAATAAATAATTTTTTTAATAACTAGTAAAACTTATTATTACTATATGATGGTATGCATTGATTAGTCACGCTTTTTTGTAATAACTTACAAATTAAAAAAATAGATAAATCAATATCTACTATCTACTATCTACTATACTAATAAGAGCCCAAGAGAGTTAGGCCTAAAATGGGTAGAAAATGTGTCCGTCACAGATTTTAATCAAATGAATGGCTCAGATTGATCAGATTTTAATTTTTTCTTAATATTTACTAATTTATCCTTAATGAATATGATTTTCCGTTAACTTTTCCGTTAAATATTACCTTTTCCGTTAATTTCTGTTAGTTCACCGTTAACTTATTCATTGATTTCAATAAGAAAGGTCTTAAGTTTGAAGTTCGAACCCCATCCCAATCAAAGTTGGCATATTTAGTACTTTATTTTACTTTTATTAAATTAAATAATAATTTAGTAGTTACAACAAAAAATAATACATATGCATTTCGATCTTTAATTTAGAATTATGTATCTATAATGTTTTTATTCAAAAAATTTATTTATTATCAATAAATTAAATAAGAGAAATAATTTCATTAGTTATATTGTCTTTGTTTTTCTCCAATATAAAAATTCTTTACATTCAAATTTATCAATTGATTATATTCGCTACATTGTCCCTACAATGTCTTTATTAAAAAAAAAATTATTCATTATCAATAAATTAATTAAGACAAATAATTTTATTATATTATATTATCTTTATTTTTCTCCAATGTAAAAATTCTTTAAATTCAAATTCATCAATTGATTATATTCACTACATTGTCTATTATCTTTTTTTGTACACTATTTTTTTAATTAAATATCAAAGTTATAATACAAAATAATGTTATATATTTATTTATCAAGTATTTTATTAATACCATGAAAAAAATTAAGAAAAATATAATTAATAAAGTTAATAATATTAACTACTTGAGAAATTTGTTGACAAATAGAGTATTCAAATTACATAACAAATTGAAGTGAGAACTATCTCGTAATGTTCTTGTTTGACAATCAGTAGTGTTAGCGTTAGCGGATTATATTAGCTTATTTGACCAGCGAATTATATCAACGGTGGGTAAAAAGATATTTGAAAAAATTAGCTTTTTAGATTAACATGTAAAATGACCTAATGGTATACATAATAATAATAATAATAATAATAATAATAATAATAATAATAATAATAATAATAATAATAATAATAATAATAATAATATTAATTGTTTTAAAAAAAATAAAAATTAAGCCAATCATATTAACTAGTTTGGGAGATTTATTTACAAAAAGAGTATTCAAATTACATAACAAATTGAAGTGGAAAACTACCCCACAATGTCCTTGTTTGACAATCAACAATTAGCTCTTCAATATTAGTATATATTTAAAATTTGAGTAAAAGACATTTTTGGTCCTAGAATTATAGTGGCTTGAACAATTTTAGTCCTTTATAAAAAATTTTGCCATTTTATGGACAGAGTTATTGTGGCGAGGACATTTTTGGTCCTCCGTCTATATTTCGATGACATTTTTGGTCCTCCGTCTATATTTATGTTAGATAACCATACGAGAGAGGGGCAATTACGTCAATTTAGGCTATCTCCTTCTATCTTATTATATCAGTGTGTGTTTGGCGGCTTCGATTTTCCTTCTATCTATTTGATTAGTAACCTGTTTGGCGGCTTCGATTCTCCGGCAATTTCTTCGTACAACTGCACCTTGGACTCTCCGACTCCTTCGAATTATGACCGAGAAGAAAACAAAACACACATAGATATAATAGATAGAAGGAGATAGCCTAAATTGACGCAATTACCCCTCTCTCATACGGTTATCTAACAGAAATATAGACGGAGGACCAAAAATGTCCTCGCCACAATAACTCTGTCCATAAAATGACAATTTTTTTTATAAAGGACTAAAATTGTCCAAGCCACTATAAATTTAGGACTAAAAATGTCTTTTACTCTTAAAATTTTATGCCCTAATTTTTATTTGCTCTCCCTTATGTCCCGTATTTAGTTTCAACCATACCTATACAATTATTTTATTGGCAATTATAATCAATCTTGACTATATTATCTTGCATTTGTAAACTTAAAATTACCTTTTCAATTATTTATGCATGAACAATACTAATATAATCCTGCCTTGATATACTTTAAAGTACTTATTAAAAAAATATATTGGGCATTATCTCAATCGCGCAATGCGCGTAAAAAACTAGTATAAATAATATTAATCTAAAAGTAAACTGAGTTATGCAATCATGCAAAGTTCATTTTCTTTAATATCTCTACTTCTTGTTTAAACCAATCACATTAGACAAAAGGTGCAAAAATCATTTTCCAATTAGAATACCATTAACACTAACAACTAATGACATGATTTCAAGAACCCAACCACCGAAAGTAGAGTTTACTGGCAACTTTCCATGTTGGGGGCACTTTATCCTTTGCAATACATATACATATTTTTCCCATAAAGGGAAAAAAGAAAACATATAAATATCTAAATCATTTCATAGCAACAAGATTAATTAAAAAAAAAAAAAAAAACTTGAAACTGTACCGACAATTTGAATCTAAAAGCATTGGCTACGATTACACAGCAAAGGCTAATACATATGACAAATTTACAGTGTTGGAATCACAACCTTAAACAATGTGCCTCCAAAGAAGAAGTGGAAACACCATTGCATTTCAATTGAAAATGGGAATCACAACATACAGCTTTACAGCAGTGATATAATATTCCTCTACCTGTTCAACAAATGGGAATCAAGGGCCCGATTGCGTTTACTTCAATTATCTTTCATTCTCCGTTTTCAAATGGCAAAAATGTAGAAATACACACATTTACTATTCTCGTTACTCCATAAAAATTTGAAAGTTTCTCTAGTTAATAACCGTATCCTAATTGTTCACCCACCCTTTGGTTAAGTGACCGTACTCCAAGATTGATTTCCAAACGGAGAATGAGAATTTCATGCAGAAACCAACATTTTCCAGAGTGTAAGAGTTTCGTTGGTGATCAACCTCCAAAAAATAAGGGCTCGGTTCCTCCTACAAGGTAAATTCTGATAATTCAAATGCGAGATTGTAAGCACCTGATTTCAGAGTCATCTCAGTCATGCGGTGCCAACAAAAGGTGACTCGCTTTGAAAGTTCTCGACTTTGTGTATAAATATCTGTGGTAGCTCTTCCCTGTCATGAGCAGAGTACAGGTTTTTAGTTATTTAAACATTTCTAGTATAGGAGAAAAAGGAACACCTATTTAGACAGCTTGAGTGAGATTCAATATTGCTAAACGATTTATTCTCAACATCAAGGTTTATAAAGTGTCTTGTCCATTTAGCACCAGATTCTAGGCTAATTAAATATTGGAATAAGGATAAAAATAAGTCATCGAGCTACATGCGAAACTACAATTGGACCATCCAACTCAAAAAAACTGCAATTGGATCATCCAACTCAAAAAAAAACTGCAATTAGATCATCCAACTCAAAAACAAAATTGCAATTCAAGATGAAAGTGGGGATGGGGGGTTGGGTTTTTGTTTTTTTTTCTTTTTATAATTATTAATTGTTTTATTTAAAATTATTACAATGAATTTAAAATTTTAATTTTTAATAAAATAACCACCAGTACACCACATCAGCAAAGACCGAATAAACAAGTCATTTTAGGTTAAATTGCATGATTTTGTATTATCAAGGGATCCAAATGCAGTTTTTTTGGAGTTGGAGTAGTTCGAATGCCTATTTGACCCTTAATCCTTAAATATTTATAGCATACAAGGATTACAAGGAATGAAACACTAGTTTAGGCAGATGAAGTGTGGTTCAATGCTAAAACCATCATATTCAACCTCCAGGTTTATAATATGGATTGTCCATTGACCACCATATGAAAAAGAATAATGAATTAAACAAGTCATTTTTGCAGACAACATTTGCAAATAATACTTGAGAGCGTTAATGTGTCTAACCTTTCGCCAGCTTCTTGGTAAGTGTAACTCGATGCAACAGCTAAAAGGAATCCATCATGGTTGTATGACAAAGAAGCAATACTATTTGGATACCTTGAAAACTGAAAACAAGGGGGGAAAATAAATCCGTACAAAATCATTCAGGATCATAAGTTATGTCAAACAAAATGTAGAACCACGTGTAAAGGTGTATGATAACGAATAGAAATAACAGAATCCAATTGGAAAGGAAGCTTAACATATCATGAGAGGCACACAATTCTATTGTAATCAAATAGAGTACCTCAAACAGTCGCTTCTTGTAGCAAGCATCCCACATAATTACGTAGCCCTCATTATCACCCGTTACAAATGAACCACTATTTCTGAAAGAACAAAAATGGCACAATCAATTTAATTTCTGTTGTTCAGAAACAAGAAGTTGATGATACAAAATACTTACAATGGACTAAACGCAATGTCATTCACTGACTCCACACGATTTCTTCCGTCTGTTCCCTTTGGATGGCATCGGAAAGCATATCTGAAAAACAGAAATAAATAAATTCAGAAGAAGAGTTTTGCAACCTGAGACGATTTTAAACCCAACAAATAAAAATAAAAAAGTTGCACAAAGTAAATTGGTTTGTTTAATGAACTCATACTAACCCCTTATCCAAATTGGATTCACAGATATACTCCAAAGCAACCCGTCCATCGACTGATCCAACCACAAACCCTGCATAAATGGACTACTCAACTTAAAAGTTGACAAAAAGAACAATCACATTCAGTAGGTTAAAGATTAACTAAAATTGACTTGAAATTTCCTATAACAGTCAACCGTATGCAAAAAATATATATATACAAGTTGAAAGGGCATTGGCTTATATTGTGCCAAATTTGTCTCCTGCTACAAAGAAATATGCACATAATAAACTGAAAGCCAAACCAATGCGCAATACTTATCAATAAAACAGGGGTAAGTTGCACATAACTAGCATGACTACCCAACCAACTCCCCCACTCATAGTCTACGTTGGTAACACAATTGATGACCTATCTGTCCATATTGTATTAGAATGTTGTCATAATACCTTCATAATGAAGAATAGGGCGGACACATTTTACTCGGATATCTTTCTTGTGAACCGATTTTCTAAGAGAACGGAAGTCATAAATGATTACAGAGGAATCAATAGCAACCATCAAATTGAAGCCGGAGAGTGACATAGACTTTGGCTCTGATGTTAGATTGTTCAAGTGTCCAACGGAGTTAGCTGATTGTGCATCCCAAAAGATTATATTCTTATCCCAACCAGCAGTAATCAATTGACCTACACAAAGCAAGGAAGAAGTTTACCAAAGTAAGATAAGACAATCAAACAAAGAAAAAATCCAAAGAGCAAGCATAATGAAATATCGTAGCTCTAGCCACTGTACCTAAAATAAAATCACTTAACACATAAAAAGATTGGTGGTACAAAAATTGAAACATCCCAGTACTGGGAATTTTATTTGCAATAACGGCTTACATGTCTCAGGAGAATACTCAACAAAAGTTGCCATATCATCATGATTCCCTATTGTTGATTTATGTCCCGAATGCATATCATACCTAGCAATTTTCCAATACAAAATGTCACATTTCCATCACTCAATGCAATCATACAAGCAAATTTGAAGATGCAAGAAAGGAGGCTTCTTATACAATTCAGAAAACCCAACTAGTCACTCATTAGAGGCTCATTACTACCAGCAGATAAAACAGAGCAACCGAGCTCAACAAATTGAGAATATTTTAAGAGAAAGGAAAAAGATTTGAGATAACTCGAGTGACAAACCTGTGAATAGAACCATCAGAAGCAGCACTAAAAGCCACGGAATCATTTTCAAGACAGCAATCAAGAAGTGCAGCTTCCCCTTGCGATTCCAACCTCAGCTTTGAGCTTTCAACATCGTACAACCGAAGACTCTACAAGCATTAGAACCACAAAATTTGTAAGCGCCAACATTCACAGATGCACACAAATATTCAACAATATACTGCATATTACTTACAGTATTCATGAAGAAATTCTACAGGCATTAGAACCACGAAAATTGTAAGCAAAACAGAAATGCAGCATTCACATGGGAACACAAATATTCTACAATACACTGCAATTACTAGCACTATCCCATGAAGAAACTCTACAAGCTTTAGAACTACAGAAATGCAGCATTCACGGTGTGCACACACATTCAAAAACACTGCATATTCCTTACATTGTCCATGAAGAAATGAGAAGATTGTTGGAACGCGGAGCAAATCGGACCCTCGAAATGGCGTCTCAGAGCGGGTTTTCGAGACTCAAAGGAGTCGCATCCATAGCTGCTCAGAACTCCAAGCGAGCTTGCTGAATTGAGTCTAAGCCCTAAAATTTAGGTGGAGGGAAAACACGGGGAATTCAGAAATCATTTAAATTTAATTTAAACCCCTTGTTTTTAAAATAGTACACCTGAAAGCCTTGATGTCAATAAAAGGTTTTCTTTTTCCCTCAATTGAAAATTCCACAATTTTTTTTTTTTATTACAAGGGAAAGAAATATTCACATTTACAAATACTTTAACGTGATTCGAACCCAACACCTCCCATGTAGAAAGCAACTTGATACCAATTGAAAATTTCACAATTAATAATTAAAAAATAAGTTAATTACTAAAATGGTCACTTGACTATAGTGAAATTACCAATTTGGTCCTTGACTATTTTTTTTAACCAATTAAGTCCCTCAACTTTAAAAAATTTAACCAATTTGGTCCTCCGTTAGTTTGACCGTTAGTCAACGATTAACTTTGGACCAAATTGGTAATTTTGCTATAGTCAAGGGACCATTTTGGTAATTAACTTTAGGGGTGGACAATTCGATTTAATTTTCTCGAATCGAACCGTACCGAACCAAACCGAAGTAATATACCAAACAACCGAACGATATTGAATTCTTATATTAGACTTTGGATATGGACTATGTAAACATCATAACACATAATATAAGAACTTTTGATAACAAACCATAAAGAAATCAAATAAAACATTTACAAGAGATACCCGTGAAAATATGAGCTGAACGACAGAGCAAGCAGTAAGGGACTTGGATTTACTTTTTATTTATTTATTTATTTATTTATTTATTTATTATTATTATTATTATTATTATTATTATTATTATTATTATTATTATTATATTTTAAAAGAAATCAAATTGTATTCGGTTCAGTTAAATTTTTTACCGAACAATTCAGATTGGATCGGATTTTTTATCGAACTGTTCGGTATACAAGAATTCAATATCGTTCGGTTGTTCGGTATATTACTTCGGTTCGGTTCGGTACAGTTCGATTCGAGAAAACTAAACCGAATTGCCACCGCTAAAGTTAATTACCAAAATGGTCTCTTGACTATAGAGAAATTATCAATTTGGTCCCAAGTTAACCGTTGACTAACGGTCAAACTAACGGAGGACCAAATTGGTTAAAAATTTTAAAGTTGAGGGACTTAATTGGTTAAAAAAACAGTCAATGACCAAATTAGTAATTTCACTATAGTCAAGGGACCATTTTGGTAATTAACTCTTAAAAAATCAAATGAATAACAAATAATTCCACAATTAATAAATAAAAATTCTCCTTTCAAAATAAGTAATTAAAAATTGTAATGTGCAATACTATAAAATTCCAAATCAAAAATAAATAGGTAATCAAAATGTTTTAAAAATAATTATTTAAATTTTTTTTTAAACATCGGAGATGAAGAAACCTTCTTCGTCTCCGGCCATGGAGACGAAGAAAGTTTGTTTTTTTTTTTAAATAATTACTTCTAAATAATTATTTTAAAAAATTAAAAGTTAAGGGACCGATTTGAGAAAATATCATAGTATGAGAGGACCATTTCAGGAATTAACTCTTTCAAGACACGAGCCAGAAAATGTTATAATGGGAGGGAGTAGTGTCCTCGGAAAAATTGTCCCATCATGGGGTTGAAAAGGTTCGCCACTTTCTTTGAAGAATTGTCTCAAAGTGTGACTTAATTGAATTAATATTATCATGCAATACACGAATACTAATGCAATACATAAAGAGTTAATTCGGATGACACTAGCAAACCTGGCAAATTATTGTATGGATCATAGTCCACATAATGTTATGTAGACCATAACAAAAAGTACATTTTTAATATACTAAATGTACATTATTTTTATACTGAATGTACATTATATAATATAATGTACACTCAGAACAAAACTAATATATATCCCCTGTATACAATATACATTATTTTTGTACTGAATGTACATTATTTTCTAGTAGACAAAATATAGTCGACACAACTTGTGTGGACCATGGTCCGCACAATAATAATTGAGCAAACCTAACTCTCTTGGATGCGAGCCATAAATGTTTTGTCAATCTCAATTTTCATCTCAACCTCAACAGGAGATTCCAACACCTCATCAATCCAGTCGCATCTCCTTCTCGGTGCAAGTCTCACAAGCCTATTGAAAATTGATTGATATAAGATTAGACTAAGATTGATATAACTTAAAAGAGTTTGAGGTAATTAGTGAGCGTACTATTAATATAATGCTAAGGTTAAAAGGACAACGATAAGGTGAAAATAGTGCACCATGAAATTAAAACTAATCTCACAATGCTAGCTAGAGATACAAATATGAGATACCCAGTTGTCATATAAAATTAAATTAAAATAAAATAAAATGGATGTTCAAAATTAAATATTGTCAAGTTAGTTAATATTTGAAAATCAAATGTTAGAAATTCAAAACTATTGAAAAGTAAACAAAGTTCCAATCAATCCTTTTTCTTTCAAAAAGTTAAATCCCAAACCTAAAGGTCCCCACACCCTCAACCCTAAGAGTCTCCACACTCCGGTCCAATAGAGCATTTAAGATGATGTAAATCACAGTAACTCAATGACTCAGCAGACAAGACAAAATGTCAGTGCACACAAGAGATCTGCTCTGCCCACTTTGGTTCCAAGCAATCCTAACTATAGTAATGTCTTGATTGGCATACCATTCTTGTGAGGAAAGGCAGTATGGTACTAAAAGCAACACTTTTAAACACTGGTAGAAAAAAAAATATTATATATACAAACCTAATTAACTCATCCCACAAGATGGAAAACACAAGAATAGCAGTAGCCAGTTGCCATGCTGAAGGAAAATATGAAATGAAAATAAAAACTTGTGATTGACAAACAAGCATTCCTTCTTCCCGCCCAGATTGGCAATCATTGAGCTCTTCTAAATTCTACCCAGGAATGTAGAAATCAAACTTGACATCGACAGAACCAGAGTCTTCTCCAGTATCTTTGTACTCAACATTTGTGATTGTTCCGGTTGGATCATCCAATTGGTACTCTGATCGTACGCGCCGAACAGGGACCGTGACAGAGTAGATAGTCCCGAGGTCGGGGTCTGTGGAGACACTCAGCTGAACTTTATCCTGCGATTCTATCTCCACGAAATCGGAGAGGACACTCACAATGTTGCTGACTATCTTCTGCTTGGCCTCGTCGCTCACTGCACATCGATCGGAGAAGAGGATCATCTTCAACCGCTGTTTGGCAATGTTTGCATTGGAATTCCTTCTTGACAGCGATGGTGGGAACATTATCTTCCAAGCCAAGCTTAGGCGCTCGAAAAAGCTCATGTTGATAGCATTAAGAAGGAAGCTGTCGAACTCTTGGCCCATGAAATTCGAGGACAGCTTGTAATCCCCAAGGACCCCAATGGGCTTTTTGGCGTGACATTGCAAATTATGTCCATCAGGTGCTGCGCGTGACCCTCTAAACACAAGCTCGGAAGCATTAGAACCGCCATTAAGGAAGACACTAAAGTCTACCTGTATTGAAGCAGGAATCATATTTGTTAAAAGAAGGGTCAAGTACTAGAATTCTAGAACAACAATTCCGTAGTGGCAGCAGATATTTTTAGCCGATGCAGGCATGCAGTAGCAGACAGGTAAGTCAGAGAGGAATGGTATAATAGTACATACCGAACAAAGAACTACTGAAGTTGACTTTAAAGTGGTCACTAAATACATAGCCTGGATACACAGTTCCAGGCAAAGCATATACTAACTTAAATAATACTCCGTAATACATAAAGATATACTTAGCTAAATTATATAAATAGATCATCAAACAAAGGCAAGGCAAAAAACGTTTTTTTATAAATCTTGTCTCTGTGATTCTCTTATGACAATTACGATAAGGCAGAATTTGTGACTTTATCTGACCAATTTTGTTCTAATTAATCTTTAGCACACCAGTCAATATCCTACAAGTTAGGACACACTGCCAGCGGTGAACTGATAAACTTGGCTGGCATGATAAGGACACAGCATGCATGAATTAGTTAGTTGCGTGTGACCCTCTAAGCACAAGCTCGGAAGCATTACTGCATTAGGATTTAGAACCACCATTAAGGAAGACACCAAAGTCTCCCTGTGTTGAAGAAGGAAACGTATTTGTTAACACAAGGATAAAAGTAATAGAACCGCCATTCTGTAGTGCAAACACATATTTTTAGCTGATGCAGGCATGCAGCAGCAGACAGGTTAGACAGAAAAGAATGGTATAACAGATTAACAGTACATACAGAACAAAGAACTACAGAAGTTTACTTTAAAGTGGCCTCTCAATACATACCCTGGATACACAGACTCCATGATAGCAAATACTAACTTAAACAGCAAACCCAGCCAAGTTGGTTAGGTTCTTAGCTTGGTAACCACAAAGTTCCAAGTTTTACTCTAAGTGACAGCAGCCTACTAACCTTCTTCATTTGAAGGAGGTCAATCTAAGCTGGTTTACCTTCTTGTGGTCCTTTGTCGGCTAGAGTCATAAGACGGAGGCCGGATTTACCCCGTGCTCACTCTCGGTAGCCGTGGGTTTCCTCGTTACTCACAAAAAAAAAATTACTAACTTGAATAATACATAAAGATTTACTTAGCCAAAAGCAGACAAATAGATCATCAAAATATATAATGCTTTCTGAATCACATTGCACATATATACGCTAAAATCAACAGATAATCAATGATTCAATGCTAATCTAAGTCCAAGTTCCATTAAAGTAACTAAAATCTGCGCATTTTTACTTGTAATGATTTGAAGAAGAATTATGCAAGGAACATTTAGTTAAATGCACACACTACAATTCTACAAACAGATGCAAGTTACGAGTGATTAAGAACAAGAGTTCTTCATTTTCCGAAAGTATACTAAATCATTTCTTACAATTTCCCATTTTCCTACCATAACAGAACTGCAATATATGAATTTGAGCCGTTAAACCAGTGATTACTGGATTCACAGTGAAGAAATGTGAGAATCGCATAACCATAAATGAAAAAAAGCAAAAAAACAAAAAAACGCCGGAAGAACCTTGGAAGGGGAAGGATGATGCTTTGAGCTCCGAATTGAGTTGTTCGGATACCGACCCAGTGCAGCAGAGACCCGGAGATCTCCCGATATTGCCATTTCCTTTTGCTAATCCTATCTCTGAAGGATTTTGGTGGATAAATGAATTGCTAGGTCACACGTTTCGGGGACGACGAGTAGTTAGGGTTAGCTGGGGAGTGGGAAGCTTTCAGCCTCTCAGAGTCTCAGGTGTTTGCCAGTTGCCATCGTTACAATTTACAAGCTTCGACGGTCCATGGTCTAGCCCGCACTGTAGCTACCCCCTCAATGTTTTTGACGACGTCGTTTTCCTGGTCGATTATCAATTTAATGCATTTGGAAGGTCTAAAGTCCGGTTGGAACTATAATTTTTTTTTTTGAAAAATGAAAATTTTTAATGTTTGATTGAAACTTGAAAGTCATATAATTAATTTTTTTTTATTTAAAAAAAAAATTAAATTTTTTTGTTTGAATGAAAGTTAATTAAGTAATTGTATTTTTTATGTTTTATTCATCTCTTTTAAAAATGAACATATTATTTGTTATTTTAATATAAAATAATAATAAATGGTGATAATATTTAAGCAGTGGCATTCAAAAAATAATTTAAGCAGTGATTTTTTTTTTTTAAATGAACATATTATTTGTTACTCAAGTTCACAGTTATTTCTCTTACTCATTGAAATGAAGCGGTCATTAAGGCTGTGTTTGAAAACCCGAAAAATGATTTCTGATTTTTTTTTTTTTTGAATTTTTGGTGTTTGGCTACACTTGAAAAATCCAGTCAACGGAAAACATTTTCCGTTAACTGAGAAAAATGTGCTCAATTTGGCGGAAAATAACTTCCGCAAAATTTGGGCGGAAGTCATTTTCCGCCCATTGCTATTTTTTTTATTTTTTTTTAAGTTTCTGGCGGAACCCAGTTTTTTTTTTTTTAACATTTAAATTTTATTTTTTATTCTAAATAAAATAATTAAAAAATATATTTAATTATACCATTCTACTCATTTTTCAGAAAAATGAACCAAACGCACCAAAACAGTTTTTCAAATGCAACCAAACACTGTAAAAGAAAAATATTTTCTGAAAAAGGAAAATATTTTCTGAAAAATGACTCATTTTCCAGAAGTCATTTTCCTGTTTTCCAAACGGACACTAAGAGCGGAGCTACAAATTAAACAATAATGGCCGGCGGTCTAGAAATAATTTCCCAGAAGTCATTTTCCTACTTTTCAAACGGACCCTAAGAGCGGAGCTACAAATTAAACAATAATGGTGCGCGGAGTAGTAGTGAGTTGAGCTATCATCAACGATGGTTACCTCAACTTTCTTATGAAATTTTAAAATATATTTTTTCCTTTTATATATAAAAATAATAATTAAATTAATTATTTTTTAAAATATAATTTGACATTATGACATCATATTTAAGGGAAGCTTGAAAGTAATTTGTAAAAAATGTTATTTGCATACCTTTTGAGCTTTTAATGGTCAAATTGTACATTTTTTTTTTTTGTTTAATGGTTTAATTACACAATGTATAAAAATTCATTAGCCTATTTAATACTTTAAAAAAATATTACACATTTTATGTAAGATGATTGCTAAAATTTTAATTTACAAGAAAATTCACTGTCACGATTCAAAGTTACGAAGTCACCTGATATCCCCTAACAATACTAAGGGCACGTTTGAAAACTCGAAAAATGACTTCTGAAAAATGTTTTCAGAGTTCTTCGTGTTTGGATGCAACAGGAAAGTTCAGTCAATCGGGAAAAATGAAGCCATTTTAATGAAAAATTCGTGTTTGGATGCAACAGAAAAGTTCAGTCAATCGAGAAAAATGAAGCCATTTTAATAAAAAATGACTTCCGCCAAAATTTGAGAAAATTATTTTTTGCCAAAATATTTAAACATACAATTTTATTTATTTTTTCAAAAAATAAACTAAACATACCAAATTTTTCAAAATACAATTAAACCCACTAAATTTTTTTTTATAAAAAATAACTCATTTTTCAAAAAATATTTTCTTACTTGGGTTGCACTTCCTTGGTCTAATGACTATCCCAAATCTATATATATATAAAAGTAAAATCCTCCTAACAATTTTTCCCCCCAAAACTTTTGTAGTAAAACTTATTTGGTAAGTAAATGTCAAATCTTCTATATATATATAAAAGTAAAATCCTCCTAGCAGTTTTCCCCCCAAAACTTAGTGGCATTTTTGTAATATCAAATATTTAGACAAATATGGCATTTCAATAATATTAAAGATTTTACCTTTCTTGAGATCTCTTACCATTTTATAATTTCAATACTAAACCCTTTTGATCTCATCCATTGTGTATAAATACACCTTATATGACCATACACAACCCCAACTAAGGTTAATTATTTCATTAATTTTTGCTAATCATCCTGTGATCTTCCACAGTTGAGGTTGATACATGATTTGCACGGGTGAGGTTTTCATTATCTTAGTTTCTTTTATTTTTTCTTCTTTTTGGGTTTTGTTTTGTTTTGTTTTGTTTTGTTTTTTGTTTTTTTGTTTTTTGTTTTTGTTTTTGTTTGTTTGTTTTTTTTTTTTTTGTATTTTCTGATTTTTAAACAACAAAAGTGGTTCGTAAGAAAAAATGTTGATATATTCTTTTTTTTTTGGTCTATTTTTGTTGAGAAGATACGGATCTAGAAAGATTGATCGGGAAGCAATAGACTTCTAATCATCCTGTGATCTTCCACAGTTGAGGTTGATACGTGATTTGCATTGGTGAGGTTTTCATCATCTTAGTTTCTTTTATTTTTTCTTCTTTTTGGGTTTTGTTTTGTTTTTATTTTTTTGTATTTTATGGTTTTTAAACAACAAAAGTGGTTCATAAGAAAAAATGTTGATATTTTTTTTTGTTTGTTTGTCTTTTTTTGTGGAGAAGATACGGATCTAGAAAGATTGATCGGGAAGCAATAGAGTTCCTTGCTCATCAAGATGATAAAGTTTTGTGATTGATGGACGAATTATGTGTATATGTAAATAGGTATAGACTTACAGAGGGAAGCATACTAAGAATACAATAAAAACCAAAATGAAATTAAAAGCATTTTTTAGTTGTCAATATATCAAAGCGTTGGAATTTGTTTCAATTCAATTTCTCCGTTTTAAAGTGTACATTTTTTGTAATAAGAGAGTAGTTTGTCTCTCCCTTCAAGATGTTTTTCTTGCCATTTAATTTTTTTTTTTAAGGAAAAAAATGATTAAGTACTGTGGCTTTTTTTCAATAGAGTATTATTTTGATTTTATTCTTCATCTGACATTCCTTGATATAAAATCACTTTACTAATGTAAAATAATGTTATTGAGTTACCATGTTTGCTTCGATATGCTAAGCCATTTAAAATTTAATACGGAGTAAAATTTATAATTGTAATACTTCCGTAATAATATTGAATAAATATTAATCATATGTTTAGATTTAATAATATATTATATTAAAAGAATTATATATTAATTTAATATAGTGATGGTTAATACGGGTAAACCATATATAAGCAATATTGTACCTTAAGAATATTATACTTAATTATAAGAATTCTACCTAATAATTTTAGTATTAAATGTCATACAATAATTACCATAAACAATGTTTAATAATTGCCAAATTCTATTATGCAATAAAAATTACTATTATAAAATCTTTTGTAATATGGACACATTATTTTTAATTATTTCGATTTAATAATATTATATCTTATGTATAAAAATTCAAATAATACTTTTAGTACTATTGAATATTGATTGACTAACAATTATTTTAATTATTAAGGCAATGAATAGATATTTCGATTTAAAAAGTTTTCAAATATATGAATTATACATAGTAGCATGGAATCAATTAGTAAGACAATTATATTAGGTAATCTAATAAATAATTTACTTTTTAAATTATATCCCCTCTTTAATAAATTATACTTACCTTAATAATTAATTATTAATATTATTACATAATAATTATATATTGTTACCTTTTTTTGGTGTAATTATTATGGTAATTTATATACATATATATTTTTATACTTAATGTATAATATTATTGGCATGAAATAAATTATACTTACCTTAATATATAATTAATTTTTAATATAATTACCTTATTTTTATTAAAAGTAATTATTCTGATAATTTTTCTTTCATTATTTTGTGTGATTATTATGGTAACGTATTTAAATTTTGGAAGAGATTATTACAAATATTATAATTAATATAAGTAATATAATTAATGAAATTATTATGGTAATGGCCACAATATTTGGTAATTATAATTAATATAATTAAAAAAATTGAGAAATATAAGATTTCTTCCCTAGAAATATTTGTGACAATTTCATTAAATTACAATTAATAAAATATGAAATATAATTAAAGAAATGAAATTATTAAATTAACAAAACATGAATATTTCTAATCATACATACACTTATGCACTATAATAATCATGCAAAATTTAAATGCAACTTTTTAAATTTTTAAATGTAATTTTTAATTATAAATCTATCAATATAAATTATAGTTAATGAAATTATATTATAGAACTTTTCTATATACATATTAATAAAGATTATGTGTATATACAATGAATT